GGAATGAAATCCTAGAAATTTTACATGAAGATTTAGGATCAGTTCATGAATAACAATAGCTAGCTGAACTTGTACAAGCATTCTACACTTTATAAAACCTTGTTTTAAAACTGAAATGTGCTTATTATTGGATCCTACTTGGAATTGGAACCATGAAAAGTGCTTTACAGCATTAAATGCCTGTTATTCTTTGTGAAAATAATTTCCCCTGAATCATCTTTACCAGGAGGTCCTATAGTTCGGGTCCCAACGTGATGATTTTTCCTAATAGCTCAGCTGGGACGAATTCAACCACTTCGTCTACAGGAGAAAATGACCTGGAGCAGTGACAATAGCATACATATAAACTACTCGAAGCATCATAAGAGATATGAAGCGCCCCGCTACTCCGAAATGGCAAGATCTCTATTACGATGAACGTGTGGCTTGTTCATATTTATGGAGGGATTGGACAGCAACAAAATGAGACACGGTACAATCAAAATCTAGATATTAACATTCGCAAACAGTGGGAGGCTTGCTGAGGCTGGTGCCGCTCTTCTTGTTACTGCTCCCAGCCCCTGGAATTTCATTGAGTGCGATTTTTCCTTTAAAATCGTTGTTCTCTATTCTCCCCTTGCACACACTCTCCCATGCACTACGCTATCACACGTGTCGAAAGATCAGACGGGAAGTTTCTTTACGCTGGGGTGATGTCTCGCTGGTGTAGATAGCTGGAGGGGGAAACCCCGCTTGCCTCCTTGTAGGTCCGCACCGAATCTCACGTTCCAGTCAGGATGGAATACTGTCACATCTCGGTACATAACACATACTACAGTTACGGATCTAAGACATTTTAACTGTCGCGCCCTGAATGAAAAAATCACTTTTCGGGATGTCAATCCGACAAATCAGTTGTTCGACATCTCTTTCAAGAAGGCTTCCGATGAACATGTTTGGAAGTTCGAAATTTTAATAACGAGTCTGAGTTCATTAACGTCGATACACTAAACGCTATTTTTTGTATCCCATTCGTTCCAAATTACATGTGCTTTGTCATCTAGAATTTTCATTTCCTCGTTTCGTTTTGTGAGATATATTCAACAAGTCTGGGTCCAAAAAAAGGAAGGCACAATAAGGGTAAACAGTTTGATGTTCAGTAATAAAAAACCAATTCCTTCTCTATTTAACCGATTTATTTTATTGATACATATTTCTTGCTATACAATATTTAAATAACGTTCCTTACAAAAAAAATTAAAACATTTTTATTCATGAACAAATCACCATTTTTCGAAACCTTCCACTGAATTCCGAATGAAAACATTATCTTATTCCACCTTACATTGGCCTACACCTACATTAGTCATTCACGCACTCCCATCCAGAGACATTCTTTCTGAAGCGCACCTGCTCCGTTTTCAACTGACACCGAGTTTTTGCTCAAATTTCAGAAACATGAGCCCCCGCGCGCGGTGACTGCTACGTGACTGTCGAGAAACTGCGACGCGGCGCCCGACGTCGGCTCGGGGCAGCGGCGGCGAGGGCGTGGGCGGCGGCGAGGGCGAGGGCGGCGGCGGCGGCGTGCGACGCGGGCGATGCGCGCCAATCGCGCCCGCTGAGGAGATGGTGGCGGACGCCGGCGCGTGCGGCGGCGGCGTGTGCGAGGTGGCGAACGCGCGTTCAGGCCCCGCCAGCGCGCGAACCCGCTGCAGCCTCCGCCGCCCCGAGGACGCGGACCGCCCCGGGCGCAGCGGCGGGGGCGGGGGCGGGCAAGGACAAGGAGCGCCTCCTGCAGGGAGGGCGCGTGCTGAGGAGCCGGCGCTACAGGTGCGTTGCTCCAGGCACGCTGCACTTAACCGGTGCCCTTTCTGTGTTCTCTCCGCGCCCTTTCCAGGGGTCGCCAGCAGACCAAACATGAGTATATACAGGTGTCCATGAAGCAAACTACCAAACTTCGAAAATAAGCTCTTAAGTCAATTTTAAGCAATTTTGCCAGCAAGAAAATTTAACACAGAAATAAAAAGAGTGCCCAATTTAATTGATTTTTTTGTGAGATATGGTCGCATCAACATCTATGTCATTATTGTATTTGATGGTGTGGTAACCACTATTGCATTTAAAGGTATGGTAACTGTGAAGAAAACATGATATGGTGGTGATAGCGGGTGAAAGCACGAACACAATACAACCATGCCCGAAGTGGGACTCGAACCCGCGATCCTTCTGTCCGAGATCGCTACGGCACTACTGCCTTAACGACCTCGAGCATCTAGACCTGCTGTTTAAAAAAAAGTGTTAATTTGTCTTTTTAGAGAGATATATTCATTTCTTTTGAAAATATTAAACAATTTTAAGGTTTCTGGAATGTTTATGTGTTTCTAAAATGCAAATTTTTGCATATAAAGTATTTTATTTTCGACTTACTTTTGAGTGCTTATTGCGGCTCAGCGATTTCGAAATCTCCAAGGAGTTCATTGGACAAAATTGCTTAAAATTGCCTTAGGGGCATATTTTCGAATTTTCATTGTTTCCTCCCTGAGCTACCTACATATGAAGGCTAACCATGTGCTTATGGATCCATTTGTTTCTCAACATAATTTTATATTAGTTTCTGAATACATAAAATATTTTAATGCTGTTTTTGTTATTTCAAATGTTTTAATTCATTTCTATATTTGTTTTGAATACGAATGTTTTATATTTCAATACAACTAGGGAGCCCTATGCTTTAGTCATTCTTCAAGATTCTTAATATATTAATCCTTTCCTGTCTGTTATCCACCTTCTCTCTTGATTCTCTTCTTCATTGTTTTTCTTCTTCTACTTTCCCGTCTCTTCCTTCTCCTTTTCCTGAATCAATATATCTTCAATATTTTCCTCATTCACATCTTCATTTCTTTCCACTTCGTCCTACATCTTCACTCTTCACTCTACCTCTACGTTCTTTTCTTTTCACCTCTTTATGCTTTTTATCTTGTTTCTTGTCACTGTTTTCTTGTTTTCCCCTCTTCTCCATGCTCTCTTTTCCAGAACATCTGGAGATTGCAAGTACCACAAAATTCTTGTTAATATATATTTTTTAACATCTATAATTTACATATTGTAAATCCTCATCATATTCTCGATAGTAAACAAGTTGTTAAAAAAAATTGTGACAGTTCTGCATTGCACACAATTCTGAGATTGCGCCAGATTTCAGGCCAAAAACGTCTACACGCCAGCTAGCCATCAGAAATGAAGTGTACTTGCTGGTCATAAATTAGATTAATGATAAATTAAACCTCCCGAATCTAAAACAGCGCTTCTATGCAATGTGAATAAATAAGCGGTGATATAGAGACTGCAACGAAATTTTAAAATTACAAAAGAAGTTTTTCTAGGGGAATGGATAGTTCAGAGCCCAAAATTGTAAAGGAATCATTATCGATAGAATTATGAGGAAAATACAAAGATATGATTTCTTTTTCATCTGGAATGACTCACTTGAATAAAAAGCATTTTTGCCTTCTGGAACGAAAATTTGCCGAATAATGAGATTTTTGTATTTGAGTCACAGATAATTACAAGGAAATGCTTCATAATGAAAATACTAAAACCACACAAACGTAGCATATCGAAACGATTCCATGACTTAGTCTTGAGACGTTCAGAATTTGAGTTTGAAAATACATTGAATATATGAAACAATTTAGGTACTAATTGCTCCAAAGGTTTCACAAATGTCAATTATATAAAAGAATATTCAGGAATAATGACTTAACAAGCTCCAAATATTACTCTGGGCAGGTACCATGGTAACAGTGGCATCGGCCTGACGCCCAATCCCACTTTGCTTCCGCAGGTACAACTGAATACTTTTGCGGTTTTTAACATTTTTCATTTCCAAAGTAGCATCTAGCGTCCCACCGTCTGTACCCAAAGAAATCATGTAGAGCAGGCAATGTGAGTTACAAGGAAGCCTGTATAAATGCCTCTCTGTCCAAGCTACCTTGTTACGTAACAAAGAATGGCACGGTTATGTCACTTTTCATTAAAATGAATTTATTTTCCCTTTAGTTGACCCCATGTGATTCTTAGGCACCAAAAATGTGTTTACGAATACTGCACACAAGAATATAAGCATAATTCCCTAACCTACTGCCTCAGATCCAGAATTTGAGACTCAATAAGAAATGCTAACGAGTTTTGCACTATTTTCTGCACAAAACCGTACGCACCTCCTCAATATTGAACATTATTGAGGGCACTAACATGTCTTACTCCTCTCGTGTACGTACAGTGCAGCTTGAAAGCTAATCTCTCAGAGTTTTGCACCACACACACACACACACATCGTCCCTCACATTCATACACACACGAAGACGTCGTGGTAAAGGGCACCTTTTGCCTAAAAACCCTCAATATGAAATTTACCACCAAAATTTCGTACACAAATTCTTAGACGGAATCCAACACGTTTCTTACTACGTCTTCTTACTACGTATAGCCATCAAAAAGTAAAACGAAATAATTGTATGAGTCGTCATTGCCAACAATATTGTTTATTACAATAGCAGCTTTCGATGGTTTAGCCATCATCGTTTTCTGTTATAAGGAAGCCACAAAATGACTACGGTCGTTTAGTAGTCGTAGTCGTTTTGTTGCTTCCATACAGCAGAAAATCGATGATGATGGCTAAACCGTCGAAAGCTTCTATTGTAATAAAGAATATTGTTGACAATGCCGAATCATATAATTATTTCATTATAAATGTCAACGATAACTCACCACAATACCAATAAAAAGTAAAATGGACTCTTTCTTCTTATTCAGCGGTCGAATTCGACCTAGCTATCTCACTAATGTCGAAAATCCTGCCACCGTCGGGACTCGAACCATAGGGTCTCCCGGCCCGAGGCACTGTAGTGATAACACTTGATCTAAGCCGGTCGTAGCCATTGACGTGCCCGGAAACATCAACCAATCAACCAACCATCCAATCAATCAACCAATCAATCAATCGATGAATAGATCGAAAAATGTGTGGGAGTAGTGGGCGTTCACGGGCGTCGCCGCGAGGTTCGAAGTGCATTGTAGTTCCGGAGGCCACCGCAAAGACACCTGCGCGCTGGAGAGCTGCTCCTGAGGGCGCGCCGTGCCTTCGGGGCGGCGTGCGCGTGCATCCAACAGGGGAAACAGCGCGGGCAGCAGTGGGGAGGCGCTCCGCTCGGACCCTGGGCGAAGGCCAAGCGCACGTGCGTGCTTACGTGCGTGCTTGCGTGCGTGCGTGCGCGCGTGCGTCGGTCTCGCGCCGCGCCGCCAGCCGGCACGGCGCCCCGCGAGTAGGCCTCGATTTAACGGTACGCGCCGTCCGTATGCCTCTCCAAGGAGGCTGCCAACGTCGGTGGAGATCAACCACAGCTTGCATATTCCTATAACGTACCCGCAGCGACTATAACGTACTGTAACGACTATAATGTGCTGTAACGACTATAACGTACAGTAACGACTATAACGTACACTGTCAAAAATTCTAGCACTACGTTATTGAAATGTACATTAAAGTAGTTATCGTAAACGCACACTGGATTTTATGTACACATGTAAAATAGGATGCGAGAGTCAAAACATTGTGGTCATATCTGGTGGGACTGAGTGAATGAATGATTTTCATGGGCTGGTTATTATGAATTATAAGAGGTAGGGGTTACAGGAGAACCTCTGCATTAAATCTACACTGATTTTAATCTTAAGCATTAAATTTAATGTCCAAATATATTAAGTTATTTTTAGTGTTCAAGATTACATTAAATTTTATGTGCAATACATTTACCTACATTAAATTTAATTACACTTCTCAAAGTATTATATCAGCTAAGTCTGGTTTTAAATAAAGATCAAAATTCTTGTAAGTCATGGACATGCCCTGGCTCGTGATTTAGCAATCCCCGTTTACTGAGATTGCTAAATCAGGGGTTGCAAGTTCAGAAATGTTACCAGTTAGTTGCTTATGACGTCATTGTAGGATGTACGTTTGTTGAAAACAGAATATTCACAATATACTTGACAAACTATTGAAGATATTTAAATGAAATTAGCGAAAAATATATAATACCCCCATTAAATATAATTGTAATAACATACTAATACATAATTCGCAAAATTCATTCATGTGGAGCACTAGGCGAGCAATACGCGAGGTGGATACGCCAAACAACAGAAGATAAGGCCGCAAGCAAAGGAACGGCGACAGCGAAACAATTTCTAGGCGGAAGTACGACGTACACCACCACTCAAATACGAACGAGCCCTTACGTGACGGTCAATAATTTCGATACGGTGATATACGGTGAAGCGGACCTTTATCTCGTTGACTCGTGATCACTGTGTGAGGTCGTGATTCAACGAGGGTGTTCGGGAGTTACCACAAATTAAGGGGAGTACACAAATTAACGAAATATATTAATTTAATAGACACCTAGGATCTTTATCGTAGGGGGGTTTAAGCGTTTAGTGTACCGCCCGCGTTGATGATTTCTTATAAAGAATTATTCATTTACGTTCAATATAAGAAATATGTTATTTGTTGACTTATAATTAATATTCATAACGTAAACAATTGCTATATTATGTGACTTTATAAAATAAAAGTAGTAATTATCTACATTTTGGCTGAAACCTCATGAGCTCCTCTCTCTACTACTGGTACAATTATTTTTAAAAATTCATTTAAAACTTTCTAAGCGAAAATAAAATAATTATATAAAATGAATATCGATTGCAGTACAACCACGATCGGCAGAAACAGCGTTGCGTCTGCGGCACCGCTGACCGGGAGGGTCTAGGATTCGAGTGCCGACGAGGAAGGATTTTCGACACTAACCGATACATAGTTGGGTCGAATTCAACTGCTTTCTGCAGAATTCTAACGGCCTGCTGCCTTAATAGACCGCTGCAGGTGTGTCTGATTTTAACCGCTAAAAAAGTGTCAAAAAGATTTGATTTAATTTTATGATTACATGACTGGCTCTAGCCACTTCACATGGGCTCTATAACCTTTTGAATTGGTCAGATGGCTGAGAACGCACGCTTACTAAACAGGGTTCATTATACTGCGATTTATGCAATTTGCAGGTATAAGCTGTTGACGGTTTAATCCAGTCGGGAGCTAGAACGTCACCGTAGTGACGCACTATGGTAACGTGCAAGCTCCCAATTGGAAGAAATTATCAGCAAACTATCAGCAGGAGCAGAATTGCGAAAATCGCAGTATAGTGTCACGACATGAAACGCAGATCTCACCGAATTATTTTATTTACGAAACAAGTATGGTAACTTTTACAATTCCCTTTGTTCATTCACTTACAATTTTGAATTGTCTGATTTACTAAACGAAACTAAATCATGTTTAATGAATCTTACTACAGGAATAATTGTATTCACTACATGATCGCTTACTAAAAATGTTTAGTACATTCTACTACAATATTTCTCGTAGCCTTCATTTCTCATATAGAGGGTTGAACCAGACGACATTAAAAGATGTTGCATGAACGAGATCCTATATGCTACTCAGGATATCTCGACTCTGGAGTCTTGCAGATGCGTAATCTGAGTATTCTGAAAATGTTTGATCTGCTAATTTAACACCACCCCAGATCATATCACATCATCTTTACCGGCAGTCGCGATTCTTAGTCTCTTGGTGGTCTGAATTACACAAGGATCGTTTTCCACGGCAGAATTCCAATGCTGACGATTCTTCGAACCGATATGCGCATGAAGATATGTGGAGCGAGCAAGAAGTGAGCACGAAGGCGTAGTATTTACTTTAGTATTTAAAGGAAGGAGACTAGCTTCGAATCTCTCTTCAAGAAAAAATTTGGGTTTCTTTTTTAAATATTTAGTATCCGATATATAGATTGAGCAATTTGTTTTGTTGTATATACAGACATAAAATTCATATGATTTAATAATGATAAGGATAACTAATGGACGGATACTGGGAAAAAAGCCAGAGATCCGATGAATAAAATCTCTAGGATAGCTTGATGTCTTAACAACATTATCTGGAATAATGCTTGCCTGAGAAGAGAATCTAAATTAAGATTACATAAAGCTGTAGTTAGACCACTCATGGCGTGTGTCAGAAAAGTTAAAACAAATAGCTGAGATGAAAATAGTAATGAAAGTAGAGGAGACAAGAACGAGCACATATCAAAACAAGAATGTAGGACAATAATGATTGACTGTTTAGTGATTCTGGGTGCGTCAACTTCTAATGCCATGCATCCTGTAAGTGTAGTGCGTGTTTTGATCGCGGGAAGTGGCTGTGATCTTCCCTCGCTGAATGGATACCTACGTCGGATTGCGAATATTTCCGTTAGCAAAGTATCTCCAATCCGCGTGGTGTGGAGCGGTGGCCCCAGCCAGGACATGCTCTAAGCTCCCGAAAAGGTTGGTTGCGTGTAGTGCGTGTAAGTGAGGGGTGATGAAAGGGCGAGGAAGAGGAAGGAAATATCGCGGTTTGATAGAGTACTGCTCCGGCATTCGCTTGCGTTGATCGTAAACCAGCGTAAAATACCGATCAGCGCAGCCGGCCTCTAAAATTCTCCTCTAGACTTAGCTCTCTAGATAGTGTCGAAAATCCTGCTACTGTCAGGGCTGGAACCCTTGGCTAAGACCTTCCCGTCAGAGGCACTGTAGTGACATCACCTGATGCTCTGAGCCACCCTTGTCGGTAATGCCAATTGTGAATAATGACAAAATAGTGTGGGTGAAGAGAGAAAAGTTCCCAGACATGACGGACAGACATGACAGGGTCCCCAGACATGGCAGGGTGGACGAAAAGCGAGTTGAAACATCTCCACAGACTGTGCTCAGAATAAAGACAGACACCCAGGAATACCAATAAAACTTTGGAAGTAATGGTTTTACGGAAGATTAACGCGGATCAGTTCCCAATAAGGAATGCGAAGTAAAAGATTTCCTCTAGACTGCTTTCTGCGTTGGAAACATCAGTTGCTCACTTCTTCGAAACTTGTCTTGCAGCGTAATGTGGGTTGTATGTGTGCCTACTTTTTTCACTAAATCTCAAGCACTCTTCTATGTTTTGTCTTATAACTGTTTGGTGTAAACGTATGTGTGGGGAATATCCCTCCAGAAGTAACACACTTTTGGGATTTTGTATCCACGGTTTCTTATGAGAGAGCAAAAATCGTCATATTCTCTTCGTAGAGGAGAGAAGGGTAAATTCTAACGATGACAAATAACGATCGCTTCAGAGGTTGTAATAATAAAAGCGTACACCTCTTTCAAGAAACTGACAATCCTTTTTTAAAAATTATAAACATTTTGTCACTTTACGTCCAACCGTTAAAGTTACATAGTATGAACAAATATCAAATTCATGGACTATAACCGGTTCGAAATAAGTCTCGAAGGTTCAATTGTTGGAGAAGTAGACGAAAATCAGGAGATCAAGAGTCGATTCCCGGACGAGGCAACTTATGCTTTGAGAATTGGATTCTAATAGGTAAGTATAGGCAATAGGAATCCAATCTGCAAATTTACTAATTCAATAAACAGGAATAAGAAATAAAATGTATGCTTTGAATCATCGTTGGCTTACAACAATTCTACATGGAACTGCCAATCTTAATACTTTGATCTTAAAACTCCAAAAAACACTTGATGCCTAACTCCTGATAATTGTTACAATCAATAATAAATAAAACGTATGCTTTGAACAATCATTGCCTTACAGCGATCATAAAACTCCGAACACTTGACGCCTAACACCAGATAATTGATACAATCATCAGGAATAATAAATAAAACGTATGCTTTGAACATCCATTGCCTTAACGATCTTGAAACTCCGAACACTTGACGCCTTACGCTAATAATTATTACAATCATCAGGAATAATAAATAAAACGTATGCTTTTAACAATCCTTGCCTTAGCACGATTTCACATGCAACTACACCGAAAAAAAGAACCGTTGGAGTATACCAGATCCATGATACTATAACACGTTTCCTTGTTACAGTATCATGGATCTGGTATACTCCAACGGTTCTTATTTTTGTGTGTGTACCAATATTAACTCTTCGAGCACTTAACATCTAACGCCTGATAATTGATATAATAATTAGGAATTATAAACAAAACGTATGTTTTGAACAATCCTTGCCTTAGCACGATTCCACATGGAACTCTCCAATCTTAAAACTTCGAACACATAACACCTAACGCCTGATAGTTGATATAATAAACAGGAATAATAAATAAAAAGGAAGCTTTGAGCGATCCTTGCCAAAGCACGATTCCACGAGGAACTGCGTATCTTGCAACTCCTCCCTTGCCTCCTCCCCCTCCCTCCCCGCCCCGCGTGCTTGCGCGTGCGTACGGGGCGTGCGCGCTCTTGTGGTGCGAGCGGTGCGGCGTGCGCAGGCGGCCGTTCGACGACCACCGCCACACCAAGCGCCTCTTCACGCCCGAGATCAAGCGCTTCCTCAAGGGCTGGCTGGTGCGGCGCCGCGACAACCCCTACCCGAACCGCGACGAGAAGAAGGGGCTGGCCGTGCAGACCGGCCTCACGTACATACAGGTGAGTCGCTGCATTCCTTGCTTCTTTCATGCAAATTCAGATGTTGACTTTAAACAAGATGATAGGTTTTTAGATTTTTTGCTGTAGATTAGCGGCTGTTTTTGGCTTTAGGCTCTTGGCAACGGGTTGTTACTACTGGTGGCTGCAGGCCGTGTGTGCCGCTGCATTCCAGAGAAATCTAGCGGACGGCTGCTCAGATCGGTACTTTTCCGTTGTTTCTCCGATCCATGTAACGCGATTGCCAGAGCAGTACTCTTACAAATGGGTCATGGACCGCTCACAAAATTCCTTTCCACTTCTTTCTCCTACTCTCTCCCTCCCTTTACTCTCTCTCTCTCTCTCTCTCTCTCTCACACACACACACACACACACACACACACACACACACACGTGGTGGCGGTATTAAATTCATTCAGCATTAAAGTCCGTGGTAGTTGGATTGATTGGTGCTTTCAGGTACATCAACAGCTATGGTAGTTAGTCCCGTTTGTGTAGTATTCCGGGTGTAGTGTCTCATTCGTGTAGTAAGTGTTTTATTCCGGGAAGTGGCGGTAATTCCTATCCACTGGATGGTGAGATCCGGCACCGATCTACACGTCGGTTTGGGTTCTTGTTTTTTCTAAGCACGCGGGGTACCGCCCCAGCCGCTGCAAGCTCTTTACTGCCAACTGGTCTCTCGACGTGTGTTGTCGTGTAGTGCACGTAAGTGGATGTGTGTGTGTGTGAGAGAGAGAGAGAGAGAGAGAGAGAGAGAGAACGAGAGAGAGAGTGTGTGTGTAAAGGGAGAGAGTAGGAGAAAGAAGTGGAAAGGAATTTTGTGAGCGGTCCATGACCCGTTTGTAAGAGTACTGCTCTGGTAATCGCGTTACATGGATCGGAGAAACAACGGAAAAGTACCGATCAGAGCAGCCGGCCGCTAGATTTTTCTGGGTTGCAGCGGCACACACAGCCAATAGTAGTAACACACTGTTGCCAAGAGCCTAAAGCAAAAAACAGCTACAAATCTACAGCCAAAAATCTAAAAACCGACAATCTTGCTTACAAGAATCTACAGTCAACACATCAACATCTTGCAATCAATAGTAGTAACAATCTACAGACAGGCTACAGGCAAGAACCTGCAGACAACAGTAGAAAGAGTGTATTGCCAAAAACGTACAGTTTAAAACATGCAGCCACAAATCCAGAAGCCAACTTCTGAAAGAGCGAACAGCCAGGACACACTTGCTGTCCGGTCTGACAACAGTCCCGACGCCAACAGAGTTAACAATCTACAGACGCGCTATCAAGGCAACAATAGAGGATAAGCATGTTTGGCGCAACATCTCTAGACAAAGAAATCTAGAAGCCTAAGCTAAATAGTAAGGGTATCAACCTAAGACAGCAGTGTTCCTAGCTTACGGCCAAGTAGCAAAAAAAGGCTATTTAGGTTGAAGCGCAATCAATTCTAATAAGTCGAATGAATGTAATCGGTCAATTCTGTACAGTAGCGCCAATAAAAGTAAGGAATTATCATTACGATGACGTATTTATGATGAGTAATATACATAATAAGAACAAGAGATATGTAATGTCTTCATAGGTTATTGTCCAGATTTAAACGGGAAATAGGTTTTCTTGTCACCTAATAGCGCGAAATAAGTAGGGGTGTTTTAAACGTGTCCATCGCCGTCGTTAGGTATTCCGTCTGTCCGTCCGTTTGTTAACAACACTAAAGCCTAAAATTATTATCTGAGGACTTTTGCCCGGATATGAATATTCCCCGATCACTCTCGATTGACTCCATGACCCTTTGAAAAAAGGTTGCTTTGATTCTGGGAGTTGACCTTACGTGGGGCCCCTGTACATGTTCAAATTTTCTCAATATTTTTTTTTATTGGGCCAAAGTTTTCCTATAAATTCTTTATGTTGAATAGGGAATTGAATTTTCACTTATTAAAGATGGAAAATGTTCGATTTGAAGACTGTTAACTGGCTGAATTTTCCAAATAATTACACAAGGGTGTTGGAAATTTTTTTCTCACGGCACTGTTCCTACAATATACAAGGAGATTCTTTTGCTTTCAAATTAAATTTGTCTCTACAGTTTAATGTAATGGCATTTTTTAGAGTGTTTTGAAAGTGGAGTCTTTAGTAAAAGATGAGCAATTTTTTGAAGAAATATTAAAAACAGATTTGGTCATAAACAGCTCAAACTTTTCCTTAACTTTTTCTACAGATCCTTTCTTTAAAGGACTGAAATAACAACAGAACATAAGTAATCTTATGCGTAATTTTGATGTATTTACTGCGTTTTCAAAAAAAAACAGAATAAGTACCAATTTTTTGGCGGATTGTCGTCAGTCGAATATTTGAAAGATACGGGAGTTCTTTTAATACTGTTATTTCGTTGGTACTACAAGGGTTATAAATGATTCCTAATCAAATTTCAAAAACTCAGTAGTTTTCTGTTAAAATACGCTCAATTGTTTGGGAGACGCCTCAAAAGCATTGTGTTTAAATGTCGGCTTTGACTAGGTTTTACGCTTTCTAGAGGTTTTACCTATTTTTACGTCTTATTTTCAATACTTATAGGGGAAACAATGGAAATATGAATAAATACAGAAATGGATTATATGAGATGATAATACGTGATAGTGACGTACATTGCGGAGGCGTGTCTGTCACCGGAACAGTGGTGAGGGCCTTGACATATGAAGCCTAGTGAGCGTTAGCTTGAAGGAGAATAGGACCGCGCCGCAGCGCCTTGTGTTATGGCAAACCTTTGTGCACTGTGATCTGTTGCTAGTAAGTATACGAAGGCGATTTTCTTCACATTGTCGCAGCGCGGGTGCATGAAGGCGAGGTTACGCTCTAGCCTCACATCGAATTTGGGGGCTTGGTCCATTGTGAAGGAGAGATT